ATACAAAAGCGTTGCGCCGCCATGTTTTATATATTCAATTAGTTTTTTCTGCGGAAAGCCATTTAAGAATTACTCAGAAAACAAGTGCATTGCTCCAGGAGTTATGCGACTCTTGGCCACCATTTAACAATTACAATACATCGTCATGAATGTGCACGACGTCTATGAACTATATTATTGTTCACGATTCGCTCCTTTGTAGGCGTTGAGTGACGTGTGCAATACATTCACCTTGCGCCATGTGGAAATTTTGTCAATTTGTGTTTTGCTGCAGCTGCTGTAGCGAAACACATTATGTTCATTCTGCTGTGCTTGATCAGGATATTTCATTTTCGTTAGCTACTCCACCCTGAAGTTGTTCATATATTTAACACATATTTCTGTGGAGCTGGCAACTATTCAGAGGCAGTGTGAGAAAATGAAAATACGCTCAGGAGATCAAATTTGTCGTTTTTTGGGTGCCCAGATAGTTCAACCGCGACTTGGGGTCAATCCAAAGTAAAAGTCGTCGAGTTTTGCACGCAGAAGTTAGGTATTCAATTAGACAGGTCAAACCTTGAACGATCGCATCGCCTAGGAAGATATCAGCCAGAGAAAAACAGGCCTATCATTGTCAAGTTTGCCAGATACAATGACAAAAAAAGATGCCCCTTTGTTTGTACGAGAGGATTTTTCTCAGTTTGCGCGACTCGGGGGGGGGGGGGGGGGGGGGGGGGCACATTGCAACTTTTTTGAGTACGGGAGAAGTCTACATGTACCATTTTAAAGTTTGTTTTGACAAGCTACATATGATTAACAAACGTTTTTTTTTTCTTTCACCCGGAGTCCCAGTCTGTTGTTGAAGTATTCTATCCAAGGACATGTCCGTATAACAAACAAAAGGCTTTATCTTCCCACCGTCATGCCGCAGCACGCGATAAAAATCAAGAATTATCTGTCCTTTTCACAAACATCCGCAGCATCATGTCAAGCCGAGATAAGCTTCATAGCGTACTGGAGGACAGTGCATCAGATATGGTTATCCCCACAGAACGTGGCTGAAACCCGATATCGAAGATAAAATATTTTCCTACTCATCTTAACTATAACATATTCCGGCTTGATCGGCTCGGCAGTCGGGGAGGCGGTGTTTTCATTGCCATAAAAAGACAAATTTCTACTACCGACATCTGTTTAATGAATTATTTCTTAGAACGCTTTTGCATATGCGTTTGTACATCATTTAGTAAAGTGGTTCTTGGTGTCTGTTATAGGACACGCGATTGTGTTTCATCCTTTCACAACGAACCATACTCAGTCCAATTTGATGTAAAAAATCGTTTTACGAAAACCGATATCGTATTATTTGGTGACTTCAATTTTCCCCTTATTCAGTGGTCAAACCTATCATCAGGAATCTCTGCAGCTAACCAGTTCCTGGATATGTATCTACTGTCTAAACTATGATCTCTTTGCCTCGACCAATTAACGTTTGCATGAATTCGTGACTTTCTTTCTTCCCGTGTACAGCTCATGTCCATTAATGATCATAAATCTTCCTGAATAAATGTATCTTCTGGTGTTCCTCGGGGGTCCGTCCTTAGGCCCTTACTCTTTTTAATATTTATTAATGACATTCCCATGGGGATTTCTTAAAATACGCCTTTTCGCCGACGACTGCGTCATCTAAAAGAAAGTAACTTGTGTGCAAACTAATAACCACTTTAAGGAAGATCCAGATAAAATTAACGATTGGTGAAAAGTGTGGATAATGTCATTAAACAAGTTTAATTGGAAACTAATTTACTTCACCAAGAAAAAAAAACACCCTGTCATTGAATTACTTCTTGGAGTCCGATCTGATTCAGAACGCTAGTGTGTATAAATACCTCGGTGTAAAACTAACATCTGACCATTCCTGGAAGAACCACATCGATGCCATTACTGCCGATTCATCTAGAACTTGTGGACTAATCAGAAGTAACTTAAAAAGTGCTCCACTTTTTGTGCGTAAGCTGGCTTTTCGCACGTACGAGTCAGACCAAAATTAAAATATGCCTCAACCATGTGGAATACCCATCGACCGTACCTCATCAATACCCTAGAGGCCGTTCAGAACAAAGCTGCTCGCTTCATTTCATCTATTTTTGACTTTTCTTTCAGTGCCACAGCGCTAAAAACTCAACTAACCTTGTCCTGTTTGCAGCTTCGCAGGAAAGTCTCTCAGCTGTGCCGTATTCACAAAATCTACTACCACATTCGCACCTCAAAACTACTTTGTTATTAACCCCGACCGAACATCTTCTCGCCTATGTATCATGCTTGTGTTTTGGCTTTTATATTGTTCGAACTCTGATTGTGCCCCCCCCCCTCCCTTAAGTATTGCCATTAACGGGCCCTTAAGGTGAAATAAATGACTGAATGAATATATGAGACTGCGGGATATTTCTGGAGTATTTCAATTCTTCTCTCTACTGACAACAACAGCATTGCATACTTTTATTCTCACAAACGATGGGAAATAATTCCCATGGGTCGCCGTAAAATAGTAAATCTTGGGAACGACGTAATTCGCCAAAAAAAGAGAATATTTTGAAAAAAAAATTAAATCTCGCTTGATTTAAATCACGTCGTTGTCAATATGGTGTAGAGCTAGAACATTCAGGTGTTAACTGCACATGGGATCATGGTGTGGTGGGACAGGCAGCTGATGTCTTGAGGGAACTAAACCTAAAGATAGCTCCAGTCAAAAACACAAAAAAAACAGGCGTCAAAACTAGCACGGTCAATATTTTGCGACCGCCCAGACAGCAACTAACCCCTTGCGTCTGTTGCGGGTAGAAAAGTACTCACTCAGTATTGCCCTGCCTCAAGCTCGTAGAAGGTAGTTGTCGTTAAATACATGTGTATTGAGTCTAATAAAGAAAAGAAAGAAAAGGAGGACGATGGGAGGCTGCCCTTACTCCAGGGCTCCAGCGGCCTTGGACACCGTCGCTGCTCTTGTTGAAAGCAGTCGCTGTTGGCTCAGCGCCTCGCTGGGTAACGCGGCTTCCCATCGTTCCTTCGTCGGGCTCGTGAACGCCACTATACTCCATTCACCCTTAACCTGGGGTGATTAAGAGATAAATTAATTCAAAAGAAACAAAAAAATATCGGAGAGTCCCTGTAGAGGAATCAAACCCAGGGCCTCATGGACCATGAGCCCCAGGTTCAACCACAGATCCAAGGAGCGACATTTTTCTTAATTGCATGAGCCAAGGGGTAGACTTATGAAGCGAGATTTACCATGTGCCCCTTTTAACCCCTTATCGCGTGCATGCATGGGCATTTTGCGGTACGAGCCGCTCATTGGATTGCCGTGGTCTTCGCAACGCCTCGGCAAAGGAACAAGTGGTCTGACGAGGAGGAAGCTAAACAGATGTGTCAATGTGGTGAGTATGACCACTTATGTTGAATGAAAAAGAGTGAACATTTGACGCTCGAGCGGTCGCTATGGTGTCTGGAGGTCCGGAGTAGAACGACCATGTGCAAGCGCTACTAATACGCTACTGGTCGCTTTGTTATTTAGTAAAAATCAGTGAAAAAGGAAAAAATACAGAAGAAAACGAAGTGACCGGAAAGGAATTAATTAAAAAAGATACATTTCCACCCTACCATTTTAAGAAAGTAAATAAAAGAAAGAAAAAAGCCCGAACAAAGCAATTCATTAGGTTAAAAATGGAAAGGGAGGTTAGAGAAAAAAGTAACGAAGAAAGGTCAACCAAGGGTTAACAGAGAAAATTGAAAATTAATGACAAAGAAAGAAAAGTTCGAATATCCAGTTTGAGACAGTTTTTCATCTTGGAGCATCGTCCCCAAACCGCACTGGCGGCCGTCGTTCCCGCCGTGGTCTGTTCCCCGTGGGAGATGGAGGCTGACGAGCTGACCTCGTCAGTTTCCAGTCTGGGGATGGAGAACCAGATGATGTCTATCGCGTCTGTTGGCCATGCTGGCTCCGCCGGCCCGATTGTGCAGTCGGTGGTTGCCAGCGGTGATAGTTGGCTGGCTTTTGGCTAAGCTTGCCGCTTGGTACCGGGATTCTCAGCTCCAAACCTGAGGAAGCCGGTTCTAGAACTGTTGCTAGCTCTTAAGCTTTCCATACTCTGCCATCTTCCAGCCGAAATGTCTAGTGGCCCAGACGCTCGACAATCCGAAGGGGACTGCTGAAGGCAAAGGATCCTTTCGGAACGAATCCCGGCTCCTTCGCGCGGAACAGGTGTCCGACCTTGAACTTCGGTGTTTAGCTCCTCTCTTTTTGTCGGTGTAGGCTTAGGACTTGTCCAGTCAGCGACAGGGCTCTCTGGTCAGCGACAGGGCTCTGGTCAGCGACAGGGCTTCCTGTCAGCGACAGGGCTCTCTGGCGAGACGATAATCATCTGATTCTGCAGGCCCTGCTACCCGCCAGACGAAAACTGCGTGGAAACGACACTCCCCAGCCAACACCGGGCTTCATCGAAGATAAGGGCAAGCCAACGGGCGCAAGCAACGGACTTCGGGGCAAGCGACAGCAGCGGCTGAAGCGACACCAAGCCACTAGAAGCTGCAAAAGGAGCTGCGCAGGATTGACGGATAGCAGTCAGCGACAGGGCTCTCTGGCGAGACGATAATCATCTGATACTGCAGGTAGGAAAAGTACCCCTTTGTTTTCAACTTGTGACTTAAAATCCCTGTCTCTGACTGCTTTTCCAAAGAGTGTTACTGAGATGGCTAAACACAAATACGATGATGATTTCTTCTTCCATTGTAAGGGGCAAATCGACGATGATGACGGTGTTTCGGAGTGTAGCGAATGCCGCTTTCGCTACCATATTGGTACCTGTGCAGGCGTAACCGAAAAGTCCCTTCGGGGAAAAAAGCCAGGGTTTAAAGAGGCTTGGAAATGCCAAACGTGTCTGAGAGCTAGGGCAAGAACTCGCAGCGCTCTGGAAGATGGACTGTCAAAAGATGAATCGCCAGATGTCCAACAGCAACTGACCCGCATAATGGGTATGTTAACAATACTCGCGCCACTAAAGCGACAAGTGGAGGTGCTGGTGGGCATGAAACAAACTGTGATGGACATTGAGAAATCGGTGCAAGCAATGCCCGACAACTACGATGAAGTCTTAAGAAAAATGAAAGAACATGACAGCGAAATAAAAGAACTGAGGAAAAAGGTGAATCAACTAGTACAAGAACGGAAAACGGACAAAACTACCGAACTAAAAAAAGAACTAAACAAATTGGAACAATACGGGCGAAGGAATAATCTTGAAGTGCACGGTCTTGTAGAAACTAACAATGAAAATTTGCTCGAAAAGCTTAACAAAATCGCCGATCAGATAGCAGTTCCACCCCTAACGAAAGATAGCGTAGAGGCAATCCACCGCGTTCCAACTAGGGCAAAGAAGACGCCTATGGTGATAGTGCGCTTTGTGAACAGAAATGAGCGAAATGCATGGCTTCAAAACAAGCAAAAGTTAAAGTCGGAAGCCGATGATGGCAACGTACACCTGCAAGAAAACATGACGGCGTCGAACCGGCAGTTGTTCTACGATGTTAGAACAGAGGCGAAGCACCTTAGCTACAAGTTTATTTGGCACAAGAAAGGTTGTTCATACGTGAGGAAACAAGAAGGCGCACCGACAATTCGGATTGAGCACGAAGGCGATCTTGAAAAAATTAAATAGGAACTACCGGCGCTAAACATCTTTGTTTTATTAGTTCTTGCACAATGAAACCCGAAAAATTACTTGCTGCGTGGGAGAAAAACAATCTGGGTACGGCTATTGCGACGGCGTTATCTTCCAAAGTCACTTTCACGATAATAAAGACGGGCATTTTTGCAGGATCTTATACGCGAATTTCTATCTTAGGGCGGTCAACAATAATATCCTCTGTTCTTTTTGTTTTTTATGGCAATTGACGCGTTCGTTCTTCCGCAAGACTTGATAACCTATCTTGGTGCCGATTACATTTCACATATGACCTCTTTACATTTAAATATTCGGTCTGCGAAAAGCAAAGCTGTAGATCTTGAGCTACTTTTTGACTTTCAATGTAATCATGCTTACAGACACTTGGTACACTGAAGAGACTGACGTACTACAACTCCCTACATACCACTCTTTTTACATAAATCGTAAAGAGAAACGTGGTGGCGGCTTAGCCATTTTGACAAAAAGTGTTTCTGGTCAAGTAATAGGTGATTATAGTTGCATCACTCAAGATTACGAAATGATGTGTATACGCAATAACCAGAATATCTTTGCTGTGGTGTACCGACCACCAAACGGCAACATGGAATCGTTTTTAAAATTTTTCGAGTCTTTTTTGGTTTTTGTTCATGAAGAAAAATGTCATGTAATTTGTGGTGGGGACTTCAATATTGATATGAGCGCGGAAACCGTAGCTAAAAAAAGTTTAGATTCGCTAATCAGGACATATGGTTGTGCAAATGTTATTAATAGACCTACACGTGTTACTCTCCAATCTGAAACTTAATTGATTTGTTTATTTCGAACAGCTCAGTTGATTATATAAAAGCTGGCGTCATTGTTTGCGATTTGAGTGACCACCTCCCAATATTCATTTCTCTCAAAAGTTTCCCGAAGAAAACTTGTAGGACAGAGCGGACATTAGTACAAAAAATAACTTTAGATCGACTCAACGCTTTTCAGACCGCTGTTTCAAATACAAAGTGGAGCCGTGTACTGTGTGAAGATAGTGCTGACGGGGCTTATAACACTTTTATAGTTATTTCTTGGACTGTATAAGATATATTTTCCTTTCACTTCTAATAAAACAAACAAGCGCATAAAGAAGCCTTGGATAACGAGAGATTTACTCTGTAAAATTAAGATAAAAAACGCTTTATATGGTAAATTCATAAAATCCAAGGACCAGAAGGACCTTAAAGTATTTAAAAACTATCGCAACAACCTGACAAAAGAACTAAAGCGCGCCAGAACGCGTTATGATTTTGATTTGTTCAAGGCCGCACAAGGACGCACTGACATCATGTGGAAGCAACGAAATTATCTTCTTTATCGTAATCGCCGCTTCAGTTCTATTGAAAAAATTCTGTGCAATGGTACTGAACTTACTGGGTGTTCATGGCAAATGCTTTAAACGAATATTTTGTAAATATTCTGGGTACTACTAAAACCGAAACTCCTTTGGTTTTAAATGATAAACGCAACAGTGATTCGATATTTTTAGATCCCGTCGTCGAACCAGAAATTATAAGCGTGTTTCTTCAGTTTCAAAATAGTACTAGCTGTGACGTCGATGGCATCCAGATAAGACCAGTAAAACATGTTATTCATCTGTTAGCACCTGTAATAACTCATATATTTAATATCTCTTTATCTACTGAAATTTTCCTAAGCAAATGCAGATTGCCAAAGTTTCAGTATTGCATAAAAAAGGAAATGTAAATGAGATGGGAAACTACAGGCCAATTTCAATATTACCAGTGTTTTCCAAGGCGCTCGAAAAGGTTCTTCATACACGTTTGACTAAATTTTCAAATAAGTATAACTTGATAACTCCATCGCAGTATGGATTTATAAAACACAAGTCGACAGAATCTGCCTTACTTCTTTTAAAAGAATTTATTTTACAAAGCTTTGAAAACAAAAATATGGTTCTTGGAGTCTTTAAAGATTTCACCAAGGCTTTTGACTGCCTCAATCATAAAAGTTTACTATCGAAATTAGATAATTATCGAATTCGAGGCCACGCTTTACAGATGATAAGATCTTATCTGGAGCATCGAGCGCAATATTTTTATATCAATGGGAATTCTTCCACTATAAAACCTATTCTTTCTGGTGTACCACAGGGTAGTATATTGGGCCCCTTCCTCTTTAACATGTACGTGAATGACATAGTCAATATTAATGTAAGCGCAAAATTTGTAAACTATGCTGATGACACGAGCATACTGTTTTCTGCAGATGATCCTGATCTGTTATTCGATATGGCGAATCTGGCCCTGCCTAGGTTACAAACGTGGAGTCATTACAACGCATTACAAATAAATGGAAATAAAACCAAAGCCGTGCTTTTTCGTCCTAAAAATAAACTCGTTACCATTACCAAGGACATAGTTTTGAATTCAACCAAAATCGAGATTGTGAATTGTTTTAAACTCTTAGGTGTCACGTTTTCTGAAAATATGTCGTGGGAGAGTCGTATAAACTCTCTTATTCCAAAGCTATCCCAAATGGTGGGCATGTTAAATCGTCATCGTTATATTTTACCAACAAGCGTTAAATTATTAATATATAATTCTCTATTTTATTCTCACTTAAATTATTGCCATTTAGTTTGGGGAACAACAACTTTAACAAACCTAGAGAAGTTACATGTATTGCAAAAAAAAGCACTGAGGGCTATAGCTGCTGTCTCGTATGATTTTCACACAGCTGGCTTATTTCAGAAATTTCGCGTCGTAAACGCGCATACATTATATGATTATAAGCTTAGCACTAGCCTTAAAGTAGAGCAACTTAAAGACACAACTTTTTCAACAGATCTTAGAAATTTATCAAAAAATATGTATAATCACCCTACCCGAGGTGCTGAATGTTGGGAGGTGGCTACACCAAGAACAAACTATGGCAAACAAATGCTTAAATACACTCTCCCCAATCTACTCAATTCGTATAAGACTAAAAGTATAGATTGCGATAAGTTATCCCTAAGAGAAGTAAAATCCTTGTTTTCTAGCAGCTGAAGGTAGTTTCCTTTCTTTCTTTGTTATCTTTGTGACTAGTTTTGCATAATTTTTATCTCTGCTGTCTGTCCTGCCTCAATGTAAAAAAGGGAAAAAAAATCTAAAATTTGGTTTAAAATGTGAGATAGCGACAATCATTGTACAATTTTTTTTTCCTCTTGAATATCGTTTTATCCGGCTCTGTTGCTGCTTCCTGTAAACGGTCAGGGACCCGCCAAGCTGTACCTGACAGCTTTTTTCCCTGATCGCCACCATCATATGGTGGAAATAAACATTATTATTATTATTATTATTATTATTGTACACGTCGACGAAGTCGCCGCACTTCCTCAAAAGTATTGCGTAGAAACAATGATGATCAGAGACCCAAGATGTTCAGTCGGGTTCGGAGCTTGCGACCATGAAGTAGCAGAGCAGTAAAGAGCCCTGTTGTCGTATATGATGTGCCTATAATATATGCGCAGGTAATCAACTACAGCACATTTTATCTGCCGTTTCTCTCGATACACATTGAATGAATCCCTTGAGTGTTCTGTTGAAACGTTCAACTTGCCTGTTGGCTGGCGGGTAGTACACGAAATTCAGATGGTGTTTGATTCCCCAGGCATTTATAAAGTCTTTGAATGGTCTAGAAAAAACCTAGGGACCTTTGTCGGAAACTAGGCTTTTTGGTAACCCTTGTCTGCAGATTACTAGATGCGTGAATTATGTGACTCTTGTGGTGGTGACATCTGAACAGAATTGCACTTCTGGCCACTTTGAATCATAATCGGCCAGGGGTATAGCAATGTGGCGTGATGGTTCAGCACTCTCAAAAGCAATCACGATGTCGTGTCTGCCGTAGTTGTCTGTGGTTGCTCCAGTCTAGCCCGCCAGACACCACATTTGTTCTGGCGGCGAAGATGAAGGGACTCGGAGGAACTTCTTTAACAAACCATGGACTACAGTAATTCCCCGGGAGTGATGGATTTCGTTGTTCGAATGCTACATGGGGCATCGGGCGACCTGCACTATCTTCGGAACGCCCCTGATACCTGGTCCTGCACTGGCTGGGAGTTTAGGGTCACCGGGTCTTCGACAACCTGCCTTCCTACAGCGCTGTCGCTGTGCCGTCGCCAGCCACGACGGCAGCGGCAGTCACTTCTGGAACTCCGACAAGGAATGTCTACCGAAAGGCTGGCGACGCCCTTAGCTCGCACTTCAAAAGGTCGTGTGATATCAGGCTGGAGCGTCGCCGCTTCCGACGGCGCCAGCAACAGCCCGAAGAGTCCTCGTCAGATTACTTCGCTGTCTTTTGAGACTTAGCAGGCCCGGCCAACTTCGGTTCTTAATAGGACGAAAACATATGAGAAGAGTTCACGGCTGGAGCGCTGTCTACAATTCGAGAACGGCTGCTCCTAGAAAGCACTCTTCCCTTTCAGCAAGCTGTTCAAATCGTCCTGAACATCGAAATGGTCATGGCCGAAGCCAAAGAGATAACCGTTACTCACATGTAACATCACGCACGCCGGTCAGACCGTCGACCACCGTCAACGACTTTCACGTGCTTTGCCCTCCCGCCAATGAATGGGGCGTCCCTTTTGTCTCAAGTAGAATTTAAATTCTCGATCCAAGATATAACGACCAGCAATCGGCTTCGTCCCTTGCGCTCGGACCGCCGTGCCAAACGTTTCAAACGCGAGCACCTAAGCGGCGCGAGACTGCCTACCGTGAAGATCGATTACGTGAAAATTGTGGATTCGGGGTGGACTAAAGTAACTGGGGGTGGATTGCTGTCAGAGCTGCGACACGTGTCCTGCACGAAAAAGGGCATGCAACGGTAGCGGCCAGATTGGACACTTCAAGCGCGTGTGCCGCCTCAAGCACCGACCTTTCCGAGGAAAATTCGACGTGCGTATCCAAGAAATATTTTCGGACAGAGAGGATGACCAGAAACAGGTTTGTCAT